AGTTTTGAAGTTGCGATTAGTGATCCACCAACCATAAGGTTCAAAGTCTACACAAATCATACCCACAAAAACCAACAACCAAGCAAACAGAACAAGACAAGTAAACAAAACACAAAATGACACCCCCCACCTCCCATGTTTTCTCGGCTCTCTCTCTCTCTCTCTCTCTTTTTCTTTTCTTTCATCATCACAAGTCCCACCTCCCTTCCACCCTCACTTTCTCATTAGGTTGTGGTCTCTTTTGGGTCAAAAAAAGACTCGAGTGTTTTATGGAGCAGAAAAGAACTACCGTTCATTAATTTCTTTACAACAATTTAAAGTTGCACTAAAGGACCCAACAAACTCTCTTTGGTTATTGTATTAATTTTCCTCATTTTTGCTATTCATGTTTTTCAAAAAAAAATAAAAATTAAAAAAAAAATCCAAAAACCCAATCATTATACCGTTTTTCCCTTTTTGTTCGAAATCAAAGTTTAAAAAAATTTAAAAAAAATTAAACATGTCTTCAGATTTTTATTTTTTTTTCAGAAGTAGATTATCAAATAAAATTTTCTTGACAATTTCTATATTTCAAGAAAAAAAAACATTTTTTTTTTTTTTGAAAGAGGGACATTGCTTTCACTCTCATCTCACAAGAAAATTAAGTGGGGTTCACTGTATGTATGGGCTGTAACTAAAAGATTTCATGTGGCTGAAACTGTTCCAATTTGGTCAAGTCTCCTAATTATTGCATGAGATTAAAAGCACTTCCATGGGTGGCCCATGATGTTGAGCTTCATATACTTTGGGGTTGTTTGGAGTATGTTAAATAAGTGTATTTTTTATTTTTTTATATTAAAAAATTGAGGAAAAAAATTATGGATGTTTGGGTTAATTTTTTGACTTTTTATAAAAAAATATGTATTAAAAAATTATAAAAATTAGTTTGTAGAGAAAAATTAGGATTGAGAATTGTGTAATCATAATTGTTGAATTTTGATGAATAATATTAACTTTTTAAATAACTTTTTAATTTTTTGATTTTTTCTTATCTCTCCAAACTTAACCTTTGTTTAAATATTTTATGTGATGTGTACATCAATTAACATAATATATTTTTTTGTACTTATTATTTATCTTCTGTTAAATGTAGACCCGAGAAATTATTTTGTACATAGTTCGAGCTACTGATATTCGGCGATGTCAAATTTGAATTATATCTGAGAAGGAAAAAAAAGAAAAAGAAAAAAAAAAGGTAACCAATGAGAGAGAGAGGGGGTCAAAGGGGTGGGGGAAAAGGGGATGAATCATTACTCTTATATCTTTTACTACATAACAAACTGTAAGTGAAAAAGAAACATCACATCAATTACATCAAATGCCTGCAACATGAAATACTTTCTATGGTTAGTTTGGGAAGAAAGATTGGGGTGGGTTTAGAGTTATTTTAGTAAAAAAATAATAATAAAGAAAGATTGGGTTGGATTTAGAGTTATTTTAGTAAAAAAAAATAATAATAATAATAATAATAACAATTTTTTTAATTTAATAAGATAAAAAATTCATATTTAATTTATAATCATTATATTTTTTTTTCATAAAAAGTCAAAAAAATTAAAAAATCATTTCTAAACGAGACTTTTTAACTCCAGATTAAAATAGTCAAAAACTCAAAAAGCCAATCTACTTCCCAAACCAATGAAGGAAACTATAATGTTGTGTTTGGTTGGGGGATTTGGAGAGGGATTTGGAAAGGGAAAGGGAAAAAGTGTGTGAAACTAGGTGAAATGTAGGTGTATTTTATTTACATTTCACCTAATTTTTCCCTTTCTTTTTCCAAATTCCTCCTCAAATCCCTTAACCAAACACAGCGTAAGATATTCTCGGAATACCATGTATATGTACCCTTTAATCAATTATTATTTGTTATGTGTTTTCATACCTCTCAATCACCTAACACAATATTCTACATACTCACATTTTTCACTAATTATATTATTACAGAATATTATAATAATATAAAATATCACATATTTATATTTCAAAATTATGGAACAATTACCTGTATGTGGACAGGCTCATGACTTCAATTACGTTGCATAACTATGCAACCTACAACAATTTCCGCCCAAAAAATTGTATACAACTTGCCAATCTTCAAATTTTAAACCTTAAAACTAGTACACAAGGTCCTCATGTATCGAATTTTATTTATTTATTTATTTATTTTCAAAATGAATCTTGAAAATTGAGCTATCACAAATTCACAAGGTGTATGAAGATGGGTAACCAACATTTGTGGCATATTTGGTAAGAAAAAGTCTAAATATACATAATTAAATATTAAAAAAAAACAAAAACAAAAACAAAAAACAAAAAATATAAATGAGGCCCACTAGAATGATGTAATTTGTTTTAACTTCATTCTCGTGTTTTCTTATCATTTTTATCCACCAAAAGAATAAAATAAAAAAAGATGTCTTATTGTATTGATATGTACGTTCTTAATATTTTTTAATTTAATTATAAAAAGATCTTATTTTCTATGGTAAAGTAGATTAGAAATATCTCCATCAAAGTTAAATAAAAGATGGTAGTGCTCTAAAAATTGTGGCACATCCTTCATACAGAATAATATATGGTGATACAAAATGAATGATAAAAAAATCATTTGAGTGCATACAACACAATCACATAAGCGACTTTTGGGATGTGAATTTGGGACTAATTTTAGTTAATAAAGATAAAAAATATATATTTTTTAATTAATAAAATAAAATATTACATTTAAATTATAATTATTTTATTTTATTTATTATTAAATTAACTTTTTAAAAAAGTCAATCATTATATCAAACACAATTTTTTCAGTCAAATTAAAATAATTAAATAACCAAAATCAAACTAAAAAAATCCATTTTAAACAAAAACATTAGTATGTATACCTCTCCCCCTCTCGCTTAAACAAAAACATTAGTATGTATACCTCTCCCCCTCTCGCTTTGGCATATTTTAGCCTTTGTTGGGGAAGTTAGTTGAGTTTTTGATTTTTTGATTTTTTTTTATTTTAACGTGAGTTAAAAAATTTAATTTGAGAAAGATTTTTTGATTTTTTAATTTTTTTAATTTTTTTATGAGAGAAAAATATAATGATTATGAATTGAATGTGATATTTTATTTTTTGTGACTAAAATAATCTATTTTATTTTTTGTGATTATTTTAGTCAAAAATCAACTTGCCAAACAACACCTAAAAAATTGAGACAGACAACAAAAAGGGTCAAGATTCCTTGCCCATTCTTCTACTCTTTCATTGACAGCTAAGCGCCATTTGCCCCCACCATTGATTAACCCCTTCTTTTCCCACCCTATATTCATCTCCACTTCTTCAAACCCCAAAATATATATTTATATACCCACATATTTTAAATAGATATATATATTTTAAATAGATATATATCTCATTCATCCATCAATTCACTTCAAAGAAAGAGGGAGTGTGGGGAGAAAAAGTATGAATTTTCCACTACTTTAAAGTCTTGCAACTCATAATTGAATTATTGAATGCAAAATACTAAGGTCAAGTTTGGCATCTTCCAAAAAATTTAAAAAGTTAAAAAGTCACTATCCTATTTAAGTCACATCATCTTATTTAAATCACATCACCTCTCTAACACATCACTTCAAACCCAACCCAAATCCAATCCATATTTCATAAAAAGTCAAAAAGTGCACTTATTTAGTCTTCCCAAACTTCGCCTAAGGGACGTTTTGGTAATGCGGTAAAAATTAATTTTTTAATTTTTTAAAGTTTCATCACCTTTTCATTTTTTATATTTAAAAAAGTCAAAAAATTATCAAAAAATAAAATCAAAAAATTAATTTTTTACAATCTTTTTAAAACACTACTAAATGAGCGTTTGGGAAATATTTTTTTTTGTAAATTTTTATAGTTATAGAATATTATTAGAGAAAAAAAAAATTTATGTTCGAAAAAATAGTTAAATTTTTTTATAGTTAAATGTAATATTTGTGAAATGAAAAGCGAAATAATTATGAAATTTGATGTGTTATTTTGTTTGATGTGTTATTTTTGTTTGGATTGATTTTTTTTAATTTTGTAGCTAATTTGCCTTTAAATGGAAAAAAAACAAAAAAAAACCAAAAACCAAACTTCCCAAACAGCACCTAAGTCTACATAAACTAATCATGTATAAATCCCAAGTCGATTACGCGATAACACTGAGGATAAGATTTAATTTTGAGTTTGATTTATTTTAAGAGGTCATTAGAAGTTTGTCTAATACCTAAGAAGGAGGGAGCATGTGTAGTAGACAGAAAAAGTGTGAATTTTCCACAACTTTGAAGTCTTGCAACTCATAATTGAATAATTGAAAGCAAAATGCTAAGTACACAAACTATTCCTGTATAAATTTGAGGTTGATTGTGCCTTAAATACGTGAGAATAAGATAAGTATTTAAAAAAAAAATTAAAAGGTTAATATAAATTATCATATTTTTTTATTTTTCTACACAATTTTTTTTTATAAAAAAAAAACTACCATGTTCTCAGACGAGACCCTTGAAGAGGTCATTATTAGTTTGTCTAGGACCTAAACAAATTAGAAATTTATCTGACTGTTTAACTTCAAGTCCTGAATTAATCCAGATGCTGACCAACATCTAGTTAGTTAAAAAAAAAAAAAAAAAACACTAATCATGTATAAAAAGTCTGTCCGATTCTATAATTGAATTTTGTATTCATAGAAGAATTGTAATTCAATTAAACATTTTCAATTCTCAAATTTTTTTTATTGGTTTAATGTAATCTTAATCAATAAATTATGTCAGAATTTTAAAAAACATAAATTTCGAAAAATAATTTAATAATTAAGAATGTATAGAAACAATTGAACTAGAAGGTCCAAAAAATAGTTGAAAAAAAATGATAATTAAAAAATAAAAATAATTAAGAGATACAATTAAAGACAAATGAAAGAAACAGAGATCAACTTATAGAATTGAAGCAAAGATTGTCTTCCTTTTTTCCCATTCTTTTTTCTCTCTCTCAATTGTCCATTACAAATATATATAACAACATTAGCCTCATTAATTCCAAATTATACATATATATATAGAAAAACATATTATAAAAAAGAAGAAAAAAAACCTTAAATTATTAAAAAACTCTCTCAAGAAGAACCTGAAACTCTGGGCGAGGTGACCGGAAACAGAGGCAACAGTCGGGGCTCCGAATCTCTCGGAGTACTCGCCGGAGACGGGTGCAAATAGAACCCCCTTTTGGCGATCGCTTGCTTCTCAGCCTCCATATTCAAGTTCGGGGATCTGTTAAACGGGTCGGGTATGAGGGGAGTGACCGGGCTGAGAACCAGGGACGGAAAATCAAGAATACTCGGAGACAAAATCTCGGGTTTCCGGGGCGAGAACTCGGATCCGTGGACGAATCCGGGAACCAAAGGGCTGATCTTGAAGTTCTTGAGACTGTTCCTCCGCTCGTATAGCTTGGAAGAGGGTTGTTTCTTGGGTCCGGTTTTGATGGGTGGGATCGGGTTCTTTGGCGGGTCGGATTTATTGGCGGCGGCGAGCTTGGCGGTTTCGGAGGATCCGGTAAGCATTTGGACTACTTGTTTGAAGGAGGAAGTGTCTGCTTGGACGAAGGTTGTTGGGTATGGGTTGTTGGGTTCGGATCTGGTAATGGGTGGTTTGGGTGGGGTGGGTGTTGGTGGTGGTGGTAGTGATGGTGGGTGGTGGTGGTGGAGTCCATTGCTGCTGCTGTTGCTGCTACTGCTGCTTGTGGTGTTGGTGCTATGGCTGTTTGGAGATCTAATCAGAGATGGGTTTTGATTTTCTTGGAATTTTAGTGAGGTTTCCATTGATGGGCCTGATTTGAGAGAGAGAGAGGAGGAGGAGAAGAAGAAGAGAGAGAGAGAGAGAGAGAGAGGTTTGAATGAAGAACAAGGTTTGATGAGAGAGATTAGACGAGAAGAGAGACCGTTTGGCATTTAGCAACTCCTTTGTTACGTTCTTTGGTTTGGTAAAGAAATGTATATGTTGGAGGGGAAATTCTAAGGTGTATGTATCATCTGTTTTTTATTTTTGCAACTTGAAAAAATGGTGTTTTTTTTAAGGCATGATTGTAATTTTTATACAAGGTATGTATCATATGTTTTTTTTTTTTTTTTTTGCAACTTGAAAAAATGGTGTGTTTTTTTGGAGGCATCATTGTAATTTTTATACTTAAGTATTATGGTCAGATTTTTTTTAACTCAATGGAAATCATTCACCAACAAAATAAGTGGAGAATGCATCAATCTCAATACAAAAGGTAGAGTCACAAGCGGAATCCAATACGATTTAGATCATCTCTAACGGTTCATCAAACCTGGTATCAAATTTAAAATTTGATGAAAAAGTCACTTTTTTGAGCTCCAACGGTATCACCAAATCGATATCAAATCGAGAATTCAGCAAATCTTTTACCAAAATGAGAACAGGTGAAGCATTTTACCAAATCACTGTTCCTAACCGTTGGGAGAGACTAACCGGTCAACCAGTCGGTTGCCCGGCCGGTTGACCAACCAGTATCGCTGAGTCCATCGGGAGCCTTGATTGGTCTGACCTGCCTCGGCCCACTTGTTGGCCCACTTCCCTTGGGCTTTGGCCCACGCTGCTCTCTTATCCCTAGTCTCCTTCTCAGGGCGATCTTAGTGCTTGGGTCCGTACTTAGTTTGGGGTTCAATTTCTGACCCCCTACAGATATTGAGGAAGTAGTCATGGTGATTAACAAGGAGGGTAGCTAGGTGTGAAGAAAATAAGCATTCGAACAGTCTATTTTCAGGCAAAGAATGTTGTCTATCAAGATTTTGAACTTGGGGGTTTTTTGTATAGATTGTCCGTCCAATTGTGTAAAGTCAATTTTGATGGATAGACAGCCATTGGTTTGGAGAAATTTGGTAAGTATGATCTTAAATTAAATTAGTTTTAATGCTAAATACAATTCAGTGTGTTTGGTTTCAATTTTTTAGACGTTGAATTTTTTATTTTTTCATTTTTTTTTATTTTTAGTAAATATTTTTAAAATTTTAAGCAATTGTTTTACTCTTTTAGAGGCACCTTACTTAGATATATCTAAAAAGTAAAATATTAGTGAAAAAATATTTTAAAAAATTAATAAATATATAAAAATATAAAAAATGTACTAAATTTTTGTATTTTTTATATTTTTGGTATTTAGTAAATTTTTAAAAGATTTTTTTTACAATTTTTTTACTTTTTAAGTGTATTTATGTTAAGTGTGTCTAAAAAATAAAAAAATTATTCAAAATATTAAAAAAATTCAATAAAATTAAAAAAAATACGAAAAATAATCTGAAAAATATTTTTTAAAATATAAAAACAAACAAGCTCATTGTGTCCCAGAAATCAAACCATGCTCACCACAAACTCGTGGTCCACATTCATATTTGATTATGACTTTTGTGTTATTGAAAAATTTTTACTGTGTTATTCCTTGTAACATATTATGATATTAATTATAATAGAATTTTAGTTATGATTTAAGAATTTTTTAATTATATAATTTATTTGATATTTAGGAGTAGTTTGGGATAATCTAAATAAGAATATTTTTTAACTTTTTATGAAATATGGGTTGCATATGGGTTGGGTAGGAGTGGGCGCGGGTCGGTTGCGGCCACGGAACCTCCAATCCGCCATTCATCCGCCGGATTGGCGGATTGGAGAAAATCCATCCACATCCGTCCGCCAATCCGGCAGATGTGGATTGAGCAAATTGGCGGTTTGGCGAATTGATGCAAATTGGTTTGGCGGTTTGAAATTTTATAAATTTTCAACATAGTTCAACTTGTGCACTTCCTCAAAAAAAAAAAAAAAAAAGTATTACAGTTAATAACTTAAAAAAGTATTACAATTATTGCATGCCTCATCCAAAGAAAGAAAGTTTGAAACTTTAGAATATTACAATCACAGCATGCCTCATCCACATAAAGTTTTACAATCTGTAGTTCTTAAAATATAAAAACAATTCAAACCACCAAAGCCATGAACAGAGTAATTGTAGAGATTGTATGTCTATGTATTGTTACATTTATATATGTTTTTGAAAACAAAAACCAACCAGCATATATCATATTTTCTATTTATTACTTTTAGAGTTAGATTTAGAAACCAAAAAATATAGATAAATAATACGTTCATTTTTTTCAATTCAAAAAAAAATATTCAAGTTGAAAACTTTTTTTCAACAGAATATTTGAATTCTTTTTCAATTGAAAACACAAACAAAATATTTAAACAAATTCAAAACACAAAATCTTATAAATTACTAAGGGTGCTTGCGGTTTGGCGGTTTGGTTGCGGTCAAAGGAACCTCAAATCCGTCATTCGTCAGCCAAATTGGCAGATTGGAGAAAATCAATCCGCAACCGTCCGCTCGTCATCACACATCCGTCCAAAATGCGGCGAATCGGTTCAGTTCAGTTAGTTTTTGCCGATCGGTATATCCGCTGCTCACCCCTAGGGTTGGGTTTGAAATGATGTGTTAAAAAGATGATTTAACTTAAATAAAATGATATGACTTAAATAAGATAGTAACTTTTATAATCAAACTATAAGTTCTATCGACCATTAGAAGGAAAATTTTATTAGGAAAAAGTGAATGAATCACCAATGAAAATCATATAAGAAACCAAGTTTAAGACTTTATAATTCTACGGCATTAAGAAAGTTGAGAAATACTTAAAAATAAGGATCCTAGTGTCATAGAGAATATAATAGTACTTCTGTAAAAGTTACAAAGTTGGTATATAAAGAATAATAGAAATAATAATAATAATAATTAAAGTGCGGGCGATTTTTGCGGGTTGCGGGTTTAAACTGCGACCCGCCCGCAACCAACAAATTTGTCATATTTCAAATCGCATCCACCCGCATTATGTTTGCGAAACCGCCCATTTATATGCGGGTTGGGCGGATTGGGCGGTTTGAGCGGTTCGGATAAACCGTTGCCCACCCCTAGTAACAATAAGTTATATTATTTGTAATAATTAAATTCATAAATGAGATAATTTGCGTGTGTAGCATAGTATTTCTCATGTTCGAGCCTTTGGGTCTTTTGTGGTAACTTTGCACTCGCTTTGAAGCCATTGTTTGTCACGCCCCAATGTGGTTTGACATGATCCTAGCTGTAGTAATGATAGAAAAAATATATATATTTTTTAAAAAAATCATTAAAGATAAAAAAAATAAAATAAAAAATGATAGACTTTTTTACTTTTGTTTTGATTTATTTTTTTTTATTTGTAAATTCTTTTTTCCTAGACGAACGAAAAAAAAGAAAAATTAACAAAAATTTAAGAAAAAAGTTCATTCAAAATTGAAAAAAAAAAAAGTGACTTTCTTAGATTAAGTTGGACGCCAAATGAACTCTAAGTTTGTGTTGGGCTGTTTTAGTAATTTAAAAAAAAAATTGCAAAAATCTAAAAAAGTTGATATGTTAGAAATTTGAACTAAAACAGTTATAAAAAAAAATAATACAAATTCGAGAAAAAAGTTCATAAAGAATTGAAAAACAATTGTGACTTTCTTATATTAGGTTGGATGCCAAATGAATCACAAGTTTAGTCCCGTTTGGTATAGCTGTTAAAGTAGATTATAAATCATAAATTATAAATTTAATTAGAAACTGTTAATCTATTTAGTGTACCTGTTGGATTATAAATTTAAGTAGCTGACTAGTGTTTAGGTGTGAAATGACTTTTTCAATTAACTTTTATTTTTTGTTATTCACTACTTGTTTACATTTCTTATAAAAAAAATAATAATAATCTATAATTCATTTGGATCTTTTTCTATTTTAAAAAAAATAAAAAAATCTAAGAGTATAACCGTAAATTAATATGTCCATAGCAGACACTGATAATCAGAAGTAAGGGGTGATTAGCTTTTCAAAATCAGCTTTTTTGAGATAAATAAGTTAAAATCACAAACTGTTTGAAATAAGTTTAACCAAACAGTCTAAAATAACTTTTTTTAAGTTAAAAGTTATAAGTTGGCTAAAAAATGCCCAAACAAACACTCCCTTTGTGGTGGGCTCATTTAGGCTCCGTTTGGAAAGAGCTAAACGGGGCTTTTTTGGCTATTTTAGTCACAAAAAATAAAATAAGCTATTTTAGTCCCAAAAAAACAAAATATCACATTCAACCCATAATCACTACATTTTTCTCTCACAAAAAAAGTCAAAAAAGTCAAAAAGTCTTTCCCAAATCAAACATTTTAGCCCAGACTAAAATTGTCAAAAAAAATCAAAAAGTTGAAAGGCCAACCCACTTCCCAAACGGAGGCTTAGTAATATAAAAAAATTAAAAAAATACAAAATCTAAAAAAGTTGATAGGTTTAAGTGGCTTTTTAAGTTTTATTTTGGAAAGTATGATAAAAGTTAATTTTTTGATTTTTTTTTTTCTTAAAAAAAGTATAAAAAATAGAGAGTTGGCATGATCTAAAAAAGTCAAAAAATAAAATAAAAAATTGACTTTTGAGTTGCTTTTTGGCCTTTTTACTTGATTTTTATTAGAATATTTTAAATAATTCTTTAAGTATTGTTGAAAGAAAGTTTTATGTCTAATTTAGAGGCTGTTTGGGAAGTTGATTTCAGGCTAAATTAGCCACTAAATGATAAAAGAGGCTTATTTAGCCACTAACGGACAAAAGTTTCACAGTTGCTTGGCAAGTTCCAATGCTAAGCTAAATTTACGAAACTACCCCTCATGAAAGAGGGGCATGCCGCAGCACACACAAAAAAATAAAAAAAATTTCCCAAAAAACACATTTTTCCAGAAAAACAAAGAAAGTTGAAAAAAAAATTAAACACATTTTTTTGTTTTTTTGTTAAAATGTTTTATAAAAATAAATTCAAACTCTATTTTATAAAAATAGTTTTAAATATTTAATTTTTTTGTTATGTATTTGGTTATAATTTGAGTGTAGAGTTGTGAAAGTAGTATGAAATT